GATTGTAACACCTGAGACAGTACCCAATTCGTTATGAACCGCTGAAGAAACATTTGTAGTTTGCTGAACCAGAACATGCGTGGCAATAGCTAAGCTAGATTGTGGCGACATGTGAAAACCGTCAACTGACCCATTGAAAAAAACCTCCGAAACTCGTTCGAGCATACAAAGCACGCGTGCGTCACAGCGAAAGCACAGACTGCAAGCAAGAGTCCCTCTCAAGGTCAGCTCTAGCACTCACATGTAACATCATGCCAAGAGTACCTCTCAAGGCCAGCTCTAGCACTCACATGTAACATCATGCCAAGAGTACCTCTCAAAGTCAGCTCTAGCACTCATGTAACATCACGCCAAGAGTAACCTCTCAAGGTCAGCTCTAGCACTCATCAAGAGTACCTCTCAAGGTCAGCGCTAGCACTCATGTAACATCATGCCAAGAGTTCCTCTCAAGGTCACGGCTCTAGCACTCATGTAACATCATGCCAAGAGTACCTCTCAAGCACAGCTCTAGCACTCATGTAACATCATGCATACAGGATTCCACGATCTTTTCTCGCACGCCAAGCAAGCTGTTCTCAAAATCTTGCATGTTTCACACGGTCCTACGCACGTATGGCTTTGCATTGCGTTTTCCCAGATCATGATTCGGGGCAACTCCATGTTTGCATTCCACTCACAACTGTTTGGGTTGGGCGAGTTGCCACGCTCAGTATGCAAATATATCATCGCTCAAAAACAACTTGCCCCCACGCAATGCGCCAGCCAAAAGCAAACTATGCCCGGGAGCGCAACTGGGCCTGCACGCCGCACAATTGCTCATAGCAGCCGGTGGTGACGTTGCCCCAGTGCGTCATGGCCTTGGTGAACTTTGCCCCGGTGATCTCATCTCCATGAGGTAGCTCGCCCCAATTCTTGACGCGCTCGCTGTCTTTGATAGCTTGCGTCAGGTCCGAGTCGATGCGCTTCCTTTGATGCAGTTATATAGGAATGAAAGATACAATCATGAACGCAACAAGAAACAAGGTTCGAATAAAACAAAGCTTCTAACACATTAAGTTTTCAAACAAAGGACAGAATGGGCCACACGGGGTCGTCCTTCTTCGTGATCTGCGATGCGCACTTGCGCGTCTCCTTGAGCAGCTTGTCCATAGCATTGATGGCAACTGACAGGCGGGGGCGAACTTTCTGGAGCTCATCCGGCCCGAACTTGTGATCGGCGTCCTTGATGGCCAGCCTTGTGTGTTGAGGTCACGTGCAGCAAGGATAGTTTTGCTGAAGTCCCTCACGCACGTATAACTCTTTGGAATCAGGCAGAAGCCTCGCTCAAGAAACGCAGAGTGACTTTGTTCGTGACAGAACTGCCATGGAGAGCGCATGAGGGCACATGAGGGCACCAGATGAGAGTGTTCATGAGAGCACTTGTGAGAGTTCAAGCAAAGTTCATGAGAGCACATGAGAGGGTTTCTTCAAATGCATGAGAACATATGAGCACAAGCAGCACACAAGCTCTCAAGGCCAACATTGTTTCCCTTGAAGACTGGTGCTGAAACACAAACAATCAAACTGAGACAGTCTCTCACGCACGCAAGGAAGATGGAAGCACCTTGCAAGACAAGAGGCATGCCTTGGTTTGAGGACGATGCGCCCGAGTCCGCATCGTTGACATCCGGGCTCAGCTTGCACCAGATGCGGTCAAAGATGCAGCCAGTCTCTGCGGAGAGCTCCAGCACGTCGGACGCCATGGTCTCCGCGTTGTTTTTTTCGCTGACGTGTTCAGCTCCACGTTGACAACCGCGTACATGGTCTTTCCGTTCGTTGTGAACGTCATGACGTCTCCCGCGTCGATGGCCGCTTGCAAGTCATCGTCCGTGTCGAAGCGGTACATCCTCATGAAGACTGTCTTGCCAAACCCAGACTGGCGGTCGGTAGCCGTCTCTGTCCGCTCAACGGTCCTGGCGTGGAAAAGCCGTCAGAAACAGTCTCTCAGGAAAAGGCCAAGGCGCGCTATAAGCACAGTCTCTCAAGAAAAGGCCAACATGCCCTGTCATGTTCCGTAAACGATGTGATGTTTGCCCAGGCTCTTGGTCTGCTGATATGTGGCAGGCCGGACAAAGTCGGCCTTGACTTGCAGGCGGCCGCCAACCTTCTCGAAAAGGTTGTTGATCAGAGCGCTCTGGGCCTTGCGGGTCCCAGACTTCTGCCACTCGGACAGGACCGCCTCGGGCAGAGAGCCCCCTCGCATGAGCTGGAAGAAGCGCGCCGCTTTGGAGCGGCCCCGAGACTCCTCGGCGCCCGCGGCTACCTCAACTTCCTCCTCGAGGATGGAAGGGTCAGCGGCAGCCGCAGAGGCGGGCTCTCCGGCAAAAACAGCAGCAAGCTTTTGCTTTTTGCCCAACGGCTTGGGCTTGGGCTCCCCTTTCACTTTCGGCTGGGGCTTTGGAGCGCTCTTAGCCGCTTTGGGCTTTGGAGCGCTCTTAGCCGCTTTGGGCTTTGAGGCTTCAGCAGCCTGACTGGCTGGGCGCTTCATGAGGGAAGAGCTCTTGGCGGCTGCAGGTCTTTTGCAAGGCTGAGGCTCTTTGAGGACATCATCCGGAGCGTCCTGCCCGAGCTGCATGGTCTCCTGGCTCAAAGACACACCATCTGGCCCATCTGGCTGGGTGTCTTCGGGGGCACTCATTGCTGCAAGGCAGGTGCCAGGAAGTACTTGAGTGCCCAAGTTCCTGATGCAAAGGCGTCAAGTAGCAAGCATGGACGTGTCGCACCAACATGAGTGTCAGACGCACTTGTGGCAAACCGCAACAACTCTCACACCATGAATCTCTCAGGCAACATGGATCTCATCTCTTTGCGCATCCATGGCAAGAAAGCTACAATAGTTTATGGCTGTGCCACTTGAGAACCATTGTAGTTGAACTACATAACAACTCAAATTGGTTACACAGATTTTGAACTTCATAGGATTGAGTGAAAGCAATGTGGAGCAATCTGAGTTGACACGGCCTGCAAAGGTTCTAAAAGTGCAATATTTTCATTGCAGTTTGCATTTTTCATATTGCACTTTGCAATGTTCATCATTGCAAAAGTGCAATGTTCATATTGCAGTTTGCAATGTTGATATTGCACTTTCAACAAGGAACATTGCACTTTGCAATGAAAACATTGCACTTTTGTATTCTGTCATTGCAAACTGCATTGTTATATTGCAAAGTGCAATGTTCCTTGTTGAAAGTGCAATATCAACATTGCAAACTGCAATATGAACATTGCACTTTGCAATGATGAACAATGCAAAGTGCAATATGAAAAACGCAAACTGCAATGAAAACATTGCATTTTGCAATGGCGATTCATTGTAGTTTTCAATCGTTTCAATGCGATGAAGACGAAAGTTCCACAAAAGTTCATGACCTGAGCGCGTGATTCTAGCTCCCCTGATTCTGTCTGACCGTAGACAATGTGCATTGGCTTCCGGCTACTCTTTATTTAACCAATTGCAATTCGGAATGTGTACTCTCAAGCACTCTCAATCTCTCTCAGGCAGATGTGTAACATGACACAAGCGCGCATGTTTCCTCCTCTTTTTCATCCAATCTATAACTTCAACCCAAAGCGGCGGTACTCGCCTCGCTTCAGCTTTATAAGAAGCTTTACAAGAAGCTTTATAAGAAGCTTTATAAGAAGCTTTATAAGAAGCTTTATAAGGAGCTTTATAAGGAGCTTTGTAAGAAGAAGCTTTATAAGGAGCTTTATAAGAAGCTTTGTAAGAAGCTTTATAAGAAGCTTTATAAGAAGCTTTATAAGAAGCTTTGTAAGAAGCTTTATAAGAAGCTTTATAAGAAGCTTTATAAGAAGCTTTGTAAGAAGCAAGCTTTATAAGGAGCTTTATAAGGAGCTTTATAAGAAGCTTTATAAGGAGTCGAACCAGCAGCATATTAACGGCAAAATCGTGCCAGTCAATGGCCATGCCAGCATCGAGCCACTCATCGTAGAGGGAGCTCCTGATCGCTGCCATCTTCATCGCGCGGCAGATGGTGGACATCTCAAGCGATGCGGTCCTTCTTCGCCTTCGTTGCCTTCATTGCCTTCATGGCCTTCATGGCCTTCATGGCCTTCATGGCCTTCATGGCCTTCATGGACTTGACCTTTGTGGATGAAGAAGCGCGCTGGATGGCCGACTTCCAAAAAGTCGAAGATCATTTCTTGAAGCAAAGAACGTCCTGTGACGCAAACCTTTATTTGGAGGGTAACCTCACATGCTGTTGACCTTTACATGGAAGATGATTTGAATCGCTGTTGGCCTCCTACTTGACACTGGTGCCGACAAGCATCGACCAGAGGCAAGCTTAGCGACGCCGCCGCGCGGCCTTCGCTTTCGCTGCAATCCGCCTCCGCCTGCGCCTCCTCCGCGGACGCACCGGCGCTGCAGCCGCCGACCCCAACGAACAAGGCGAGGCCGCCGGATCAGCAGGCGAGGTAGGCGAAGGAGCCTGCGCCACGAGAAAAATGTGAGTTTTACTGAAAATGATTGACACCAACGAATTTAGTGCTGCAACATGTTTGACACCCAAGCCTCCTCACTCAAATCCTCCTCTTTCCAATCCTTCCAATCCACCTCTTTCCAATCCTCCTCTTTCCAATCCTCCCCTTTCCATCTCCTTTCCAATCCTCTCCTTTCCAATCCTCCCCCCAATCCTCCAAACTCTCCTCGCCCGGCTGGTATGGATCCCAGCTGGCTAGGTGGCTCCGCAGGCTCCGCAGGCCGCATCGAACCATGTACCGCCCTTGCCGGTGGCTGATGCTGGGGCTGCATCATTGGCTGATGCTGGGGCTCCATCATGGGCTGATGCTCCATCATAGGCTGATGCTGCATCATGGGCTGATGCTGGGGCTGCATCATGGGCTGATGCTGCATCATGGGCTGATGCTGCTGCTGCTCAACCTGCTGCTGCTGCATCATGGGATGCTGGGGTGGCATCATGGGCTGATGCTGGGCTGCTGAGGCTGCATCATGGGCTGATGCTGGGGCGGCATCATGGGCTGATGCTGGGGCGGCATCATGGGCTGATGTTGCTGGGGCTGCATCATGGGCTGATGCTGCATCATGGGCTGATGCTGCTGGGGCTGCATCATGGGCTGACGCATCATGGCTTGATGCTGCTGGGGCTGCATCGCGGGCTGCATCATGGTCATGGGCTGACGCTGCATTAACAAAGGCTGATGCTGCTGCGTCAAGTGCATCATGACCACATGCTCCTCAAACAGGGGCTGCATCAAAGGCTGACGCTGGGGCTGCATCAAAGCATCAAAGGCTGATGCTAAGGCTGATGCTGGGCCGGCTGATGCTGGGGCATCATAGGCTGCGGCGTCTTCGATTCCGGTTGATGCTGGGGCTGCAGGGGCTGCGCCAAAGGCGGTGGCACTGCCAAATGAGGCGGCCCTGGGCCGACATCGCTGGAGGACGTGGAGGGAATTCCGGAACCGGAGGCGGATGCCAGCTGGCTGCAGGTGCCTGGGAGGGGGCCGGACGGCGAGCTGGCGGTGGAGGAGGTGCCGCCGGCCGTGAGCCCTGCCGCTTGCTTGCAGCTGCCGGCGCCCGAGCGTCTCCAGCAGGATCGCACGCAAGCGGCCTGTAGGCCTCCGGCACCTGCAAGCCTTGGAGCCTCTCCTTCGCGGCCAGCATCTCCATCTCCCCCTCAAACTCAAGAAAGGACGAGCACATCACCGAATGCATGGCCGAGCCCTTGCGCACGATCTTCACGGAGAGCGGCATGCCATTGGGCTCCAGGTGGTTCCTGCAGACCTGCTCGATCTCCTTTGCTGGTGGCTCAGGGGAGCTACATAAGTTTCTTGGCTTTCTCAACTGTGTTTGGACATGATGCTAGGGCCTATGAAAGCAAACAGGAGGCTCTCAACAGAACAAACAAAAAACAGTTCTCGGCCAAACCAAATCTCAACCCGCAAGCAAAATCTCAACCCGCAAGCAAAATCTCAACCCGCAAGCAAACCTCAACCCGCAAGCACATGCCAGTAAAGCAACACAAAGCTTCCGCTTGAGGTTGATCTTGAGTTGCCATGGCAACTCGCTTGCACGTGGGAACTGGCGGTTTGCCACGACCAAGGCTGAAGCTTCTTCGCAAATGCAATTTTTTGACCTGCATTTTGATGTAAATCTGTTTGGTCTGAACTATAATTGCACACAACCATTGCTTTGACGGGACATGTGCAGCGGCGGCAACACTATGAACACAGACCTCTCAAAAACCCTCATGAAAGCGCGCTTCATTCAACCTTGAGCAGAGATTGTACGTCAAGCAATCGCTCTCAAGAATGTGTAGACTCCCATCCCAATCCCTAAGCATGTGTGTTTTTTCGCTCTCAAGAATGTGGACTCGCAGAACCATGCCAATCCCTAAGCATGTGTGTGTTTTTTTCGCTCTCAAGAATGTGTGGACTTGCAACAACCATCCCAATCCCTAAGCATGTGTGTTTTTTTTTCGCCCTCAAGAATGTGGACTCTCAAGAACCATCCCAATCCCTAAGCATGGGTCAACAAGCAGGCAGGCCTAGTACGAGGGACTTTCAACTCTCTTTCAACTCAAGGATATGGCCTGCGCAGTGAGGCCGTCCAGCGTGGCCGAGCCCGTGAGGGCCAGCAAGTCGGCCAGCAGGTCCGTCACGGAGACCGACTCTCCCTCGAAGGCAGTGGCCCTGATCTGCATGCTGTACAGGTCCAGCATGCCCGCCGACTGCTGCACCAGCCCGGGGATCGAGCCGCCGAAGGCGCCGAAGTGCAGCTTCGCGACTCCGCCCGGCGGCGCCGAGAAGTCCAGGCGCGCCGTGGGCCGGGCCACCAAGCGCGCCGCGCGGGAGCTGACGGGGGACGACGGGAACTTTGTGGTCACGACAGACCTGGGCAACGAGTTCGCCCGAAGCCGTGCACCGGACGAAGCGGCCCGAGGACCGCAACGCCACGGCCGTGGTGGACCGGGGCATCCAGACGCTGAAGAAGGACCTGGCCACGAGGGTGGCGCGCAAGGGCGGGCAGTGGAGCGACCACTTTGAGCGGGCGGCCGGGGCCTACAACGCCCGGCCGCACGAGACGGTGTACGGCGCGCCCGAGGACGTGGAGAAGCAGCCGGCCACAGAGTTCAGGGTCCTCCAAGACAACGCCGACAAGTTCCAGCACAACAAGGACCTCACGGACCGGCGCGTAAGGCGGTGGAGGACGCGGGCGCCTTCCGAGCGCCGACGAACGCGGCGAGGAGCTTCAACCCTCAGTACGGCGACGTGCAGCAGCTGGGCGCAGTGGACTCCATGACCGTCCGAAGCACGGAGGGCCGCGAGACCCTGCTGAAGCTGGCGCTGCCGGCGCCGCAGGGCAGCGGCAACGCGGCGGGCCGACTGACGAGACGGGGCAGGCCGGCGGCTGTCAAAAAAAAAAGTTTTTTGAGGCATTCAGGCCTGCGTCCAGGGACGCTTGAAGCAAACCCCTTTTGGCGCAAAAAAAAAGTTTGAGCAGGCCTCGTCGGAATTGACTGCTCCTGCTCACGCCCTTTTCGGGGAAAAAACAGTTTTGAGACATTGCGCAGGCTGGGGGGGAATTCCCGGAGCCTGCTCAGCTCCTTTTCGGGAAAAAATCAGTTTTGAGGAAGTGCGCTCTGCAAAGAAGTGTGCTCTGCAAAGAAGCGTGCTCTGCAGAGGAGCGTGCTCTGCAGAGGAGCGTGCTCTGCAGAGGAGCGTGCTCTGCAAAGGAGCGTGCTCTGCAAAGGAGAGTGGTCTGCAAAGAAGCGTGCTCTGCAAAGAAGTGTGCTTTGCAAAGAAGTGTGCTTTGCAAAGAAGTGCGCTCTGCAAAGACGCCCCCAAAAAAAGAAAGTAGACAACACACACAACTCCAAAGCTGACTCGCCCCCGCCCCCCAAAAAAAGAAAGTAGACAACAACAACACCCAACTCCAAAGCTGACTCGCCCCCACCCCCCTTCGCCCCCTGGAAGCTGACTCGCCTCCATTCCCCGCAGAAGAAGACAACAACATCACACACAACTCCAAAGCTGACTCGCCCCCCTTCCCCCTTCGCACCCCGGAAGCTGACTCGCCCCCCGCCCCCAAAAAAAGAAAGTAGACAACACACACAACTCCAAAGCTGACTCTCCTTCCTGGCAGAGCCCGCTTCCTGGCAGAGCCCGCTTCCTGAAATTCCTTCCTGACAAAATCCCTGACAAAATTCCTGCCTGGCAAAATTCCTGCCTGACAAAATCCCTGCCTGACAAAATCCCTGCCTGACAAAATCCCTTCCTGGCAAAATTCCTGCCTGACAAAATTCCTTCCTGACAAAATCCCTTCCTGACAGAGCCACTTCCTGACAGAGCACACTTCCTGACATGTGTCAAACAAGGTTGGGCAAGCCAAACGGAAGAAGCTCACTCGCCCCCCGCCCCCAAAAAAAGAAAGTAAACAACAACAACACCCAACTCCAAAGCTGACTTGCCCCCATCCCCCTTTGCACCCCCGGAAGCTGACTCGCCCCTCGCCCCCCAAAAAAAGAAAGTAGACAACAACACCCAACTCCAAAGCTGCCTTGTTTAACACGTGTCAGGAAGTGCGCTCTGTCAGGAAGTGTGCTCTGTTAGGAAGGAATTTTGTCAGGAGTAGTAAGGAATTTCTGCCTATACTACCCTAATTATTTTTGTTTTTTGGCCCCCAAACCCTGCAAAACAGCCAAATTCTTCAACCAGCTGAACGTTTTTCCGATGTCACCGGTCTTTGTCACCACTCCGTTTTTGGTGCAAAAAGCGCTGGAAACGGTGAACTCCGAAAAGTGCGTTTTTTCGTGTCAGACGTCGAAAGTGGCGCCCGAGCCTCCAAGTTCGCTCGCTTTCCGCCGAAAACCGGCTCCAGACTGTTCGCCGTGCTCCGAAATCCGTTTTCTGCCCCGAAAAGCCTGCGAATTCCAGCCCGCTGAGCTCGTTATCGCTTGTCACCGCTTTGTCACCACTCGCTTTTTGGCTCCTTCTCCGCAGGGTTTTTCGCGGCCCGACAGCCCGCCGAGTCCGACAGCCCGCCGAGGTGGTCCGTCAGCCCGCCGAGCTTGTCACCACTGATGTCACCGCTCCGTCCGGCTCCGTTTTTGGTGCAAAAAGCGCTCAAACCGCTCGAGTCCGAAGAGTCCGTTTTTCGTGTCGGACTGCAAGTGGGATGTCCGAGCCTCCAAATTCGCAGGTTTTCGGTCGAAAGCGGGCTCCAGACGACCCGGAAAAGCGGCGAATTCCAGCCCGCCGATGTCCGCTTGTCACCGCTTTGTCACCGCTTCGTCACCGGGCCGAAAAGTGCGCAAAAGGCTTGGAAAAGCGAAACCAGCTCCGCGGCTTCGGTCTAAGAGCCATCTCCAGCGAAGTCGGAAATCCGACCTCGCTCCATACCGAAGTCGGATTTCAATTGCCTGGCGCGGGCCTGGTGCGGGCCTGGTGCGGGCCTGGTGCGGGCCTGGCGCTGCCTTTTCAGTCAATCCTGTCGTCAGCGCAGGCTTGCTTTGCTCAATCCTGTTGTCAGCGCAGGATTGCCGGGGCTTGGAGCTGTTCTTGCCAGAGCACAGCCTCGTGATGGAGCCGGCCCTGCTGTAAAGCTCCCAGGCGTCGTTTATGCTCAGGACAAAGGGAGGCCGCTTGCGAAAAGCGTCTCGGAGCTCCGAGTGGAAGCGTGCCATAGTAGTTCATGCTGCGACCTGGGAAGATGTAGGGAGGATCGGCATATATGGCCTGTCGGGGTGCCTAGTCCCACTGCCAACCCTGCCGTCGCCGCTGCGCCGACTCCTGCCGTCCAGCAACCTCGCCCGCTGAGGGCTGCTGCTCCTTCTGCCAGGCCTCCCAGGTCCCGAAGGCCCCACCCACACCCTCGGAGGCAACGGCTACCTCTGCTGCCACCGCTGCCGTCTCCTCTATGGCCGCTGCCCCGCCTCGTCCAGGAGGCGCTCTACGTCGTGGGTCGACCGATGATCTGCGGCGGGGTGGCTGCGGCTGCGGCCCTGGGCGGGGCAATACCGGCAGCGTCCTGGTGGGGGAGCTGGGAGCGGAAGGCCTGCACCGCCGCGAGCCCTGCTGCTCCTGCGCCCACAAGGTCCGCTGCTGCCTGCGCTCCGTCGGCCGCGCTGCGCAAATTGTTCGTCAGCGCGTCGG